ACGCACTTCATCATTCAGGCCCTTTGACCTGGAAGCGTGAAATGCAGCTGTATACTTTCTTGGTTACCTTGCCTTGCATGTTGTCCACATACTGATAGAATAAATACCTCCATGTCTCGCCGCGAAATAAGAAGATGCCCCAGTACAGCCAGAACCCAAAGATGAACCCAGCAGCCACGAAGCAATACAACCACAATGTCTCTTTATCTTCATCCAGGCTTGTTTCAGTTTGTGTCGGTGTCGGCGAGTTTTTGCAGTCTTCCAACGGAAACCCGCATAGCCCAGGATTATTGCTGTATATTGACTGGTCAACGAGTGTCCGCAGCTGATCACCCATAGGTATCCTCCCTGATAACATGTTGGTTGAGAGGTTCAGAGCGCTTATGCTCCTCAAATCTGCAAAGCCTTGAGGAATTTCTCCCCTAAGTTGGTTCCGAGAAAGGTCCAAGGATTCCAGCAGTACCAGATTGCCAATGTCTTCAGGAATATAGCCTGACAGATGATTTCCTGATAAGTTCAGGTACCTGAGTCCAACAAGGGTTGTGAGCCCTTTCGGGATCTCCTGTGATAGAAAGTTTCCAGACAAGTCGATACCCGCCATTGCTGCTATCATAAGATGGTAAACATAATCTACATTCTTCCAAACTATGTGAATCTGCACTTCATAACTACTGCGGTCAGGGTATATGGAGTCAATGTCTTGTTCTTGTGCCATGCCAGTAAAATTTGTAAAATCGTCTGGAACGGGTCCAGTGAGCTTGTTTTCTGACAAGTCCAACACCTGGAGTTTGCGAAATTGTAATATCTGGTGGGGTATGATGCCGTCAAACATATTTGACGACAATCGAAGAAAGTTGAGTTCAGGCAAACTCTTGCTTGCCCAAGAAGGTATTGTACCAGAGAAATTATTGCCTCCAAGATCTAGCGTAATAAGGTGTTTGCATTTCTTAAGACCCAGAGGAAAGCTTCCTCTGAATTGGTTATTGCCTAGGAGAAGATATTTAAGATTATCTTGGCATTTCCTCGAGAACGGAACCACACCACTGAAAGAGTTGCTTGACAGATCTATGAATTTTAAACTTGACATGTCCCAGAAACACTTGGGGAGACCTCCATGTAAGGAATTGCTCGATAAGTCTAAGAGGTTTAAATCAGTACAATTACAAAGGAATGACTCACCCCGACCTGTCAGAAGCGTGCCGTGCAGCTGGTTATGACGGAACGCCATGGTGCTCAGCTCTCCTGGATGCTCACTAAAACAATCCCTTAGCTCTGCAACAATGTTGTTTGCCGTGAAGTCAACAGATCGCAGGGTTGTGCAGTTTTGAAAGGTCTGATGGTGAATGCCAGTAAATCCATTGTGTCCAGCAGCAATGGTTGTCAGGGCTCCTCCTACACAAATCGATGACGGGAACAACCCGGAGAAGTTGTTGTGTGCAATCCCTACGCTATCCAGGAGGCTAGTATTCCCAAGCTCGGGAACGATGTGCCCTTCGAGCTGGTTATTTAATAGATCTAACTCCTGGAGTTTTCTCAAATGAGAGATGGTACCTGGTAGCTGCCCATCCAAATAATTATAGGATAAGCGCACAATCTGTAGTTCTGTGATGTTTCCAATCTCCGTTGGGATGCTCCCTGTAAGCTTGTTACCTATCAGACTCAGCACACGGAGTTTCATGAGCATCCCAATTGATGGTGGGATTGGTCCAGTCACACTAAGGGCACTGAGATGGAGCTCCTTCAAGTTCGTCAAGTTACCGATCTCTTCAGGTAGCGTGCCATCAAGCCCCAACTCCACCATGTACAGTTCAGCAAGGTGCTTCAGCTGCCCAATACTGCGTGGAATGTGACCCCTCACATTGGTGTTGCCGATGTCCAACTTGACCAAGCTCGTCAGGTTGCCAATCCCTGCTGGAATGGTGCCGTGTAGATAAGTGTTGTACAGTAGGAGTTCCTTCAGGTGGGGAAAGGCCGAGAAGTCGAACTCGTCAAGTGTGCCATTCACACTTGCAAGCGAAATGTCGAGCCCTCTGATGTGCCTGACCGAGTCACAAGTGATGCATGTCCAATTGCAAAGTCTGGTGGAGTTGGCCAATGACCATGACCCAAGGCCATCGGCACTGGCCAAGCTAGCCTTCCACTTCACAAGTGCTTCAGCTTCACGCCGGATGTCGGATCTCATCAGCGCGGCCGCGTGTAGTAGGAGATAAGTGTAAGAGAGTAGGAGAAAGCATGCAGAATGGAGATGCTTCATGATGGCTTGGTACGACTGGTGCTTCACTGCTGCCGTAGAGGATATAAAACCTCCAGATGAGCCAGCCGGCTGGCCGGCCGTCCGTCCGTCCAGTATAGGGTGGTCTGGTGGACCTCACGGTTTACAGATGGCACATTTTTAGCGAGTGACGTGCTGTTAGTTTAGATTAAGGGCAAACTACATCCTATTTTATTATAGAAGGCTGCCCATAATAAGAATAAGATAGTACAAATGGCATGATGTATACATGTGTCACTATCACTCTATCAGGGTGAAACTTGGAAGTTATCATGGCAAACACGATATTTTTATCAACTTTTCAGGTCTGAGACTGGAATGTATAGCCCAGAATGTTGATGGATATCTAACATGGTGAAGCTATCAGTCCGGTATCCACGATTTAAAGACCTTCGTCCTAGAGCAGCAATTCGGGCTTCAGTTGCAGGTGTATGCGCCCACATAAGAAAGCGCAAAAAGAACAGAAAACTACTAGCACATATGGCAAATCTATTTTAGAATCTA